AGAGGAGAAGAATATGCAGCACGGGCGAGAATGCTGCAACACCGCACGAGATTGAATGTGGAGCGATACAGACAAGCGCGGAACAGACAAAACTCGGTTTTCCGAAGGAAGAAGCGTCAGCAGGAAGATCGAGATCGCGAGGCGATGGAAAATCTGTACCGCGTAAATGACACACGGAAGTTCTACGAGAAGCTAAATAGTTCGCGCAAAGGCTACGTGCCGCAAGCCGATATGTGCAAGGACTTGGACGGTAACCTTCTCACGAACGAGTGTGAGGTGATTGAGAGGTGGAAGCAGTACTATGACGAGCACCTCAACGGTGAAGCAGCAGAAAACGAAGGTGGCACGGCAACAGACCTTGGAGCACGCGCAGAAGACGACAGGCTACCGGCCCCTGATCTTCAAGAAGTTGAGGAGGAGATCGGTCGGCTGAAGAACAACAAAGCAACTGGTGTAGATCAACTACCAAGTGAGCTATTGAAATACGGTGGTGAAGCACTGGCTAGAGCGCTGCACTGGGTAATTGCCAAGATTTGGGAGGAGGAGATATTACCGGAGGAGTGGATGGAAGGTGTCGTATGCCCAAACTACAAAAAGGGCGACAAGTTGGATTGCTGCAACTACCGCGCGATCACACTGCTGAGCGCCGCCTACAAGGTACTCTCCCAAATTCTATGCCGCCGTCTGTCACCATATGCAAGAGAGTTCGTGGGGCAATACCAGGCGGGATTCATGGGTGCCCGCGCTATCACGGACCAAATTTTCGCGATTCGGCAGGTTCTGCAGAAATGCCGCGAATACAACGTGCCCACACATCATTTGTTCATCGATTTCAAATCCGCATACGACACAATCGATCGAGATCAGCTATGGCAGATTATGCACGAGTACGGATTTCCGGATAAACTGACGCGATTGGTCAAGGCGACGATGGATCGAGTGACGTGCGTTGTTCGAGTATCGGGGACACTCTCGAGTCCCTTTGAATCTCGAAGGGGGTTACGGCAGGGTGATGGACTTTCGTGTCTGCTGTTCAACATCGCGTTAGAAGGTGTGATCAGAAGAGCTGGGATAGACACGAGTGGCACGATATTCAGGAAGTCCATCCAGCTCCTTGGTTTCGCCGATGACATTGACATTATGGCACGGAACTTTGAGATGATGGCGGAAACGTACATCAGACTGAAGGCTGAAGCTAGACGGATTGGACTTGCCATCAACGCATCAAAGACAAAATATATGAAAGCAAGAGGTTCTAGGGAAGACAATGTTAGCCTCCCACCCCGAGTTCAGATTGACGGTGACGAAATCGAGGTGGTCGATGAGTTCGTGTATTTGGGCTCACTGGTGACCGCCGAAAATGATACCAGCAGAGAAATTCAAAGACGCATTATGGCAGGGAATCGTGCCTACTTTGGACTCCGGAGGACGCTCCGGTCGAATAAAATTCGCCGCCGCACGAAGTTGACTGTCTACAAGACGCTGATTAGACCGGTGGTCCTTTACGGCCACGAGACCTGGACTATGCTCGTGGAGGACCAACGCGCCCTTGGTGTTTTCGAACGGAAGGTGTTGCGTACCATCTACGGTGGAGTGCAGATGGATGACGGAACGTGGAGGAGGCGAATGAACCACGAATTGCACCAGCTGCTGGGAGAACCATCCATCGTCCACATTGCAAAAATTGGGCGACTACGGTGGGCTGGGCACGTCGTAAGAATGCCGCACGACGACCCAGTGAAAATGGTTCTAGAAAGCGACCCAACAGGAACAAGAAGAAGAGGCGCGCAGCGGGCAAGGTGGATCGACCAAGTAGAAGGTGACCTGCGGACCCTTCGCAGACTACGAGGCTGGCGAACTGTGGCCATGGATCGAGTAGAGTGGAGACGACTTCTTCGGACAGCAGAGGACAACAAGGCCTTAGCCTGATTGGTAAGGTAAGGTATAGTTGCTTCTTCAATCGAAAATATCCGGCCGTGGCGATTCAAAGTTGATCAAGGTTGATCAAAATAATTTGTACCCCTGCTTCCAGTTTGATTACATGAGCATTTTGTGTGGTCGTTGGTTCTGAATATGGACAACCAGGCAGATGAATTCTATTCCTACTCTTTACTGTAATAAGCTTGGTGGCCCTGAAAAAGGCCGTTTTGTTGCCAAAGTTGGTGATGATTTAACCTCCGAAACCAAACAGAGTGCGTCTCTGTCACTTCAAAACGTAGATGACATCCATGGCCGCTTACGCTTGGCATGTTTAGTGTAGGTGACAGCATCACGGATCTCATTTTTTAGGAACACCTTCAGCACACCTCGTAAATCAGCATATCCATGTAGGTAATTGGTGAATTTGTTAGTAAATTCGACGCTTTTGGACAATGCTGGACATTTACCAGTTTTTCAATAGTTCTTTCAACATTCGGAAGCATTGTTATCGATGCGTAGCCATATTTATGATCGATGGGTGATATAATTATTGAAATGGGACCAGGGGCAGCTGAGTTATTAACGTTCAAAATCTTTCCCAAAACCCCCATATAGAAATCAAAGACGTAGTCCTACGTAAAAAAAAAAACAAAATCGACCGCGTTACGAAAAGTGGTCAGGTTTTTACCACTTATAACTCTGTAAATAGCGGATAGATTGTAATTCTAAACCTTGGAGCAAGACACCTTTCGATCATGAGTATAATCGGAGTTAATTTTGAGTAACTCTGAGTAACTCGCATTGCTCCACAACATTTACACCTGGTTGTGTTGAAACCAAAGGAGCGTAGTTGCATTTGTAAATTTGTAATACGTATTTCAACATTTTAAGCCGTGCCCTTTCAAACTAAAGCTTAACCGAGAAGATATTTCGGCAATGGAAAGGCAATTGCACTTTCGTATAGCACGCTGCATAATACGGATTCTAATGGACAATCACAAGAAGGATTCAGGATAGTCCCAGAGGGATTCTGGACAATCCCTAGATGACTTCGAACAATCTCTGAAAGGATTCCAGTCAATCAAAAAGGAGATTTATGACAGTCTCTGGAGGGATTCCGAACTAGCCTAGGGGGCTTCCAGACAATTATCAGAAAAGATTTCATACACTCTCAGTACGACTTCCGGACAATATCAGAGGGGACTTCGAGCAAACCCAACAGTGATTCTAGACAGTCAAAAGGACGATTTCAGTAAAAATTTAGGGGCATTAATGACAGTCCAAAGAGGACAATCGCAGAAAGGATTCCGTACAATTCCAGGGAGATTCCTCACAATCTCAGGGAGGACTACAGTTATTCCAAAAAGGAGGATTCTGAAAAATTGAACAATTCTAAGTAGCATGACAAAAAAGAGAGGAAGGGATTTCTGCATCCCTTCGACGATCGCTCATGTAAGTGTCGGAATAGAATCAACTATGAAGTTGGCCAAAGCTAATCTATTGTGACCTGGGATGAACAACTACATAAAAGACCGTATTCGTCAATGTTCCATTGCTGCTAAATGTAGATCATCACAACAACAGCAGGCGATGATAATTTAACCCGTTTCTGATCACAATTTTCAACTGTCTTTTTCTAAGAGTATCAGAAAGTTTCTAAAGACAGTTGACCATTACTCTGACTTTTTACTGAAGCTTGTAAATTTAATTTTGCTGGTCCCTGTACGCCTCAATTATAAATAAATATTAATTTTGAGTTTCCTCATGCCAGAAACTAATTCAACAGAACAAGAAGCCTCTTACATCGATTTTGAGAGGTGTTGAGCACTAATTTTCATGAGCTTAAATAATCTTCTCACAATATTGCGGGTTGCTTTGGTTTTCAGACTGATGTGAAAATATTTGATAGTTGAAAACATAAGTACAAAGGGAATAGCAGGTAAACAAACCGATTATTCGATACGCCACCTTAGAATGCGCCCTCGCTACATGAAACTGTAGCATCGAAGCCATTTTAAAATATTAACAATGGTTGCTACATACCAATAAATCTTCAAATTGATTGCAATCTTTGAATCTTAATATTTCATAAAATACTGAAATTCATAAATCAAAATTCTTTGTTTACTAAAAATCACCGCATTCCCCAGGATACTAACGGATACTTATGACCTTTGCATAAAAATAAAGATCTGGTTTTAAACTTTCAAATGAAAGTTGTTGCAAGTGCAGCGGTTTGCAGCTTGCTTAGTTATAGCGCCTTGGAAAAGGGTATTTTTTGCTTTAAAAATCGCTGTAGCTCTTACAAATGTAAACATAACACTTTAGTGTTTTCAGCAAACTTGCTTATTATACTATTTTCAAAACCTTCGCAGAACATACCTAAGAGATACAACGTGATTAAAGTATATCAAAGCTTAAAAAACTGATTTTAAGGTACAACTGTCAAAGAATATCCTATATCTTGGCAAATTGAAGTCATGGCAACTTGATGTCTTGAGCAAAGCTTCTTGAAATAATATTTTCTATAACTTTTTTATGTACATCTACTCTCTATTTGTTGAAATGGAAAAGTTGGGTTTCTGAAGTACAGTTGTACCTTAACAAAAATTTAAGGTGAATATTCCAAAATTTGGAAAACAGACCATTCAGACCAATCATTCGAACACGTCAAATGGCTAAAATGTACACAAACATCAGGATACAATTAAGTTCACGAATGTTTACTTTTAAACCACTGTGCAATCGATTGGAAATTTTTCTACAATTCTGCTAAAATAGGCGCTTTATCAATTTGCAATAGGTCACTAAATTAAAAATTACACAAATGTCCAACTGTTGCAATGGTGATCAAAATAATCACCGATGGCCTGCCTTTTTCTTTTTTTTTATGAGAAATATACACCTATATTCTCGTTTTCGTTTTTTTTTTATGGAAAATACGGTTCGAACGAAAACAAAAATATGGGTGATATACTTAGGCGAGCCCATTGGATCTAGCGGAGAAAAATCTACAGGTAATATCGGATACAGGATAAGATTCGGATATGCTTATAAGCAAAACAAAACACCGGCAACTGTTACTTTTCATACAAAATTTATTGGCCTTATTATTAAATTAGTAGGTGTATTGCCTTACTTTTGCCCAAGATAGGTCCCTCAGATATCGTCAGTTAGAGGTTGTATAAATGTCTCCAACTACAACCAAAAACAAATGTACTACTCCGCCTTTTCTCTGTCTCTATGCCTCTGTAACTAACTGTGTTTGCCAGTTCCACTAGAAATATTTCCCAAGAATATCGGACTCCAACCTTCTTTTTTTTCGATCATAAATCATGTACTTTTATGGATGGTTTCTTGCGTGTTTTATTCGTTGTATACTTTTCAATTTCCACTTAATTTTTAACATTGTTCCAGTGTTCAAAGCATTTTTTTCCGTTTCGTTTATTTTTTTCTCAACTTAGTCTTACAATTAAATTAAATAACACTCTCTGTCTTCCACATTTGCAGTGTTTAGACTTTACTTCATTAGCCACTCATAATTATATATAAAGATTAAGTTAGATGAGGGCGCGAACGTCTTGCATTTTATCATCGAAAATATAATAATCCTTTTCAGAATTCAGTTCTCATTCTCACACTCACACACTCACGAATATAGTACGCTTCCATTCTCTTCAAAAATATATATATATATAATAAACTCACACTTTCACCTTTTTCCGCTAATATAATACACAGTGTAGTAAGGCGTTGTCTCCGGGAGATAGCCGAGAGATTCTTCTACGATTTTATTTTTGGGTTTAGGGCTGTTAGATTAGGGGATGGGAAGAGATTCTGCGGGGTCAGAGCTTACATACTTAAACAAAGTTATGAAAATAGAGGTGTGCGACCGACCAGGTCGCACCAGTCATGATTACTACAAATTGTCGTCGTCGGTACTGCGCTTATAAATTCGTACAGCTAATGAACATTTGAGCAAAAAATACACGGGATGAAACGGGAAGTTTACGGGAACGGGTTTGGGTTCGTTGGATCAAGGTAGGAAGATGGACACTCGTGTGTTGGGATGGGGTGTGTTACAAAATCATTGAATTTCCTACTTAAAGTTCTAGGTTATTGCTAAACACAAATCCACCCGCTGCTACCGTTTGTTTACACATAATACACAGAGAAAGGCTAACCAGATCTAGCTAGCTTTCAAGGAAATCTCATGTCACCCATGTGCCGCAGCTGGTGTAGACTGCTCTGGCTCGCGGCCCGCTGCGGTGGTTGCCTTGGGTAGTACAGATTGTGCTGCGAGGACGAACGGTTCGGGTTCTGTTTGTAGATTCCCTCCGGCGGCGAGAACTTCCTCGGCCGGCGCTCGTCGCTGAACCGTCGGTGTTTGTTATTGTCGCCCTCGTCGGAATACTTGAGACGGTTCTGGCTATTGTTGCTATCACTTCCGCTGTTCTGGCTATCGTTCGATAGACGCTTCACGTGGCTGGTGTCGTACATGTAGTACCGGTTCGTATGCTGGTACTCGTCGTTTACGACTTCTTCGTCCTCGAACGTTCGGTTGTCCTCGTAGCGGGCTTTGCGTGGTCGGTTTTCCTCAGACTTTCGGCGATCCCGCTCGCGATCGGGATCGAACTTCTTCTTCGTCGTTGCCGTTTGACCTTGAGCAATGTTCAGCATGTCGTCGTATCCGTATCGACTGGCACCGATCTTTATCGGTGTCTTGGCAGCTGGCTTCGTCCATACGGCATCCTGACCGTACAGGTCTAGCACCGGCTGGAATTGGCTCTGTCCGGTTAGATTGTGCGACGATCTTCGCCAACCTTCCTCGTATCGTCTTCTGGTATTCTCATCTTCGATCGCTTGTCTTCGCTGTGATTTACTGCTTGAGCTTTCGCTGGAGTCTTCTCCGGATGTACCCAGGCCTAGATCTTTCTCATCGCCATATGCCTTGTAGGGAGCCCCTAGAAAGGTCTTGCTTCCGAAAGCACCCGTCAACGCCAGCTGAGGATGTGATATACAGTACGGATGTGGATAGGATTTCTCCACCGAAGACAACTTCAGATCATCTTCGGGGTACGAACTACACGATCCTGGCCCAAAGAGCGACAATAGCACCGGTAACAGGAACAACCCATGCATTGCTCCAAAGAAGATCACCAGGAATACCATTTTGAAGAACACCAAGAATATGTAGCTATCGGCCAGCAGTAGCGCTATCACGCCCAAAATCGTACTAACACTACCCTGAACGATCGGCATTCCCAGTCCATACAACGCCTCCCTCACCCGCTCGTCCGGCGTACGAGCCTTACTGGACATATAGGTGTAGCAAATGTGCGCCGTAAAGTCCACCGAAAATCCAATGCACATGATCAGGTTGATCATCGAAATCGAATCCAGATTCACATCCCAGAGGCTCATGTACCCGGCCACACCCAGCTCGATGCTCACGATTGAGAACGCCACCCACAGCGAACAGAGGAAGTTCGGTATGAAAATGAACGATATCAACATCATAATCAACGCTCCGACCACCATCGATTGGATGGCCGTCGGGCGCACCAGTTCGAACTGATCGAAGAACACAAAGTACGGATGGAACACGGTTGCATTCAGCGACGATTGCTTACAAATCGCCCTCAAGTCCTGCACCATGATCTTCTCGTGGTTCGTATCGGAAATGTTGACCGCCTGGATCATGAAACGTGACGCTTCGATGCGTTTGCCGTCGGCGCTGAATTTCACATCCAGTGAGAACGGATTCGCCGGGAATAACCAAATCTACAATAGACATTGACAACTTTTAACTAACCATTATCATAAGAAATAAATCCTGATCAAACCTACCTCCTTAAGTGCCGCAACGAACGCCTCCTCACTGTCCAGCGTCAGATTGAGATAGTCATTATTGCGATCCACGTAGGCAACGAACGACCGCAGCCAGGATTCGCTGTACAGCGGGGATGTGATGTACGAGGTATTCTCCAGCGATTGCATCAGATCTTCAATTTGCATCTGCGTGATTGGATCCGAGTAGTTTAGGTCTCCGGTCACGATCACCTGGATCCGATAGGGGAACTCCCGGTAGTATTCATCCTCCAAGTCGAAAAACTTGACCGAGTACGAGTCCGCTTTGGAGAGTTTTCTTCGCTCGAGGCCTTCCTTGATCTTGGTCAAGCCGAAGCATGCTCCACCCAAGTAGGCGGCGAAGACCACAATGATGAGCGCTTTGATCCAACCCTTGTTCAGGATGCTGGCCACTTTGTCGCGGAAGAACTTCATCAGTACGTGTTCCCTATTGTCGATGGGGTTATCCGGGTCGTCCCGGTTGATTCCGCCGGTGTTGAGCTTTCGGTACAGCCATGATCGATTTTCTGCGGGAGAGAAGAAAACGGAAGGGAAGTTGTTGAGCATACAGGTGGTCAATTGATATCGATGTGGTTTGTGGTTAGGGGCTGTTCATTAACTACATGTACAGTTTTTTTGGGATTCTTGCTCCCCCTCCCCCTGCGTAGAGAATTGTCCATACACAATTTTTAAAGTTAGAATATCAGAGTACAGCGCAGCATTCACTCACCAGGCAGCGCTAGTGTGACATTCATTTTGAATTGTTTGCTCTAGCCTAATATATGGACTAGATAGAAGGTTACCAACAATCAGTACGAAACTATCGATTTGAAATTGGCTCACTACTTGACTAGCCTATTGGTCCCAAGTAAACGATTAACGTATCCCATTCTAGTCGGAATTCTACTACTACACTATGTTTATTTTGATTCTCTATGAAAGTTTGACAGATAAAATGAGGGGTTCGTGAATTATCCCATGTTTCGAGGGGTGCATCGATTAGCTTGGGACGGAAGATAGTTCCAGAGCTGAGCCAAAAAGTTGAGCACATTCTTTCGGGACTTACTAGTCTTAGAGTTACCTCTATGAGGTTACCGTCTTGGGTAAAGTTGTTCAGATGGACAAGACCTATCGTATGGTATAGAGTTTAGCTCATAATTCACTCACCAGGTAGCGCTAATGTGATATTCATTTTGAATTGTTTCTCCCTACTTGATATATGAGCTAGATGAAAGATTTCCTCGTTCTACTTTGGACATAAAACATGTGTTGTCCATCTGAAAAACTTTTCCGAAGTCGTGAACCTTCTATCATAGAGGTAACTCTAAGACTAGAAGGTCCCGAAATAACGTGCTCAACTTTTTGGCTCAGCTCTGGTACCATAGAGGTAACTCTAAGACTAGAAGGTCCCGAAATAACGTGCTCAACTTTTTGGCTCAGCTCTGGTACTCTCTTCGGTCCCAAGCTAATCGATTCACCCATCGAAACATAGGAAAAACCAATAACCCCTCATTTTATCTGTCAAACTTTCATAGCGAATCAAAACAAACATTGCGTAGTACTAGAATTTCGACTAGAATGGGATACGTTAATCGATTGCTTGGGACCAATAGGCTAGTCAAGTAGTGAGCCAATTTAAAATCGTTAGTTTTGTATTGATTGTTGCTTCTATCTAGTCAAAATGTTAAGTTTCTAAAATAATTCAAAATTAATGCCACATTAGCGCCGCCTGCACACTGCAATCTGGTTGAACAGTCATCAATCCCAACGAACAGTTTTAGCTGCAAAAATTCTTATGCAGACAAAAATTAGCTAGACAATTGTTGCTTGCATATAAGGTGTCCCAGAAAGTATAAGCAACAATCAATATGAAACTAACGATTTTAAATTGGTTCACTACTTGACTAGCCTATTGGTTCCAAGCAAACGATTAACGTACCCCATTCTAGTCGAAATTCTAGTACTACACTATGTTTGTTTTGATTCGCTATGAAAGTTTGATAGATAAAATGGAGGGTTAGTGGATTTTTATATGTTTCGAAGGGTGAATCGATTAGCTTGGGACCGAATATAAAGGGTGTCCACGATGAAATTGCCACACACAAAATTGATTCGCAAAATTCGAGTTTTCATCCGATTGCCATCAAATTTTCAGGGATTGAGAAATAACTATTAAACTTCATTTTACCATTTTACTCGTATTTTATTTACAGTCCATACGCAAATGCCCGCACCTTGGCCTTAACCCCGGCCATAAGATTCTGCACAACCTGTGAATCAAACGTTTTTTGCATGTAAACCCATACTTTCTTCAGTTCCTCGACTGTCTTCACTACCTTAGGTCGTTTAAGAAGGTGCTGCTTCATAATCGCCCAGTACTTCTCGATGGGGCGGAGCTCCGGAGTGTTGGGAGGGTTGAACATTTTCGGCACGAAATTGACCTTATTGTCATGCCTCATATTATGAGACCAAATCCGGCCAGAAGATTGTTGGGACGTTGTGGGCCTTCAGGAGAGGAAGCAGCCGCTTTTGGAGGCACTCTTTTATGTACACCTGTCCGTTCATCGTGTCCTGGGTCACGAAAGGTGCACTCCGCTTCCCGCACGTGCAGATGGCTTGCCAAACCAGGAATTTCTTCGCAAATTTGGACATCTTCTGAGTGCGGACATGCTCCGGAACGCTGAACTTATCCTTGGCCGTGAAAAACAGGTTGCCGGGGATCTGTTTGAAGTCGGCCTTCACATATGTTTCGTCGTCCATGATGCAGCATTCAACTTTCGTCAGCATGTTGAGGTACAACTTCCTGGCACGGGTTTTGGCGGACTTGTTCTGCTTCTCGTCGCGATTAGGGGCCTTTTGTACCTTGAACGTTCGAAGTCCAGCCTTAGTTTTGGCCTTCTGGACAAAACTTCGGCTTAGGTGCAGCTTCTTAGCCACATCCCTAACGGAGGCGTTCGGATTTCGGTTGAAGGCCCCAACTACGCGGTTGTGATTTTTGGAGTTGTACGGAATACTTTTTCCTTCACTTCTGGGCTTCCGATCGGTGGTCAACCGTTCCTCGAACCGCTTAATCACTCGCGACACCGTGGAATTCGCGATTCCCAACGTTTTAGCGATGGAACGATGCGAGAGATCCTTGTTCTCGTGATGAATGCGCAAGATTTTATCACGCACGAGCTGTTCTTTCGACTCCATTTCTGCGGGTTTTGATCACAGGACTTTAAAACTTGCAGGATGTAAAAAATGCACTATGAACTAAATCCACCCAAATTTTCATTAAATTCTACCCAACGGTTAAAAAGTTAGAGCAATTTCATAGTGTGGCAATTTCATCGTGGACACCCTTTAGTACCAGAGCAGAGCCAAAAAGTTGATCACGTTTTTTTGGGACCTACTAGTCTTAGAGTTACCTCTATGGTATAAGCACACTTTCAACTCGCCGCCATTTCTACCCCGATGAAGTTTATCAGCTGTTCATCGATGTGTGTTGTTGTTTTCTTATTGCTCAATAAGTTTGTGTGAGCAAAGTGCATTTTATTTTTACAAAATCATCAAAATGCGAGGCATTTCCCCGGAAAAGCGCAAACGGATCGTGCACAAATTGTGCACTTATCCCAAGGAAGTAGGAAGTAAGGACGTAGGCGAAAATGGAGGAAGTAAGTATGGGAGCAGTCCGAACCGCCATCCGGGAGTTCGGTGAAGAAGTTACTTTCGACGGACACGTCGAAATCTGGCCGTAAACCGGAACCGGTAGACCGAAAATTGGACCGGAAGATCGACCAAGCTTTCGTCAGTAAGAAAAGTGCCTTTGTTCGAGATTTGGCCAAAACACTGAGAAAATCGAAGAGTAACGTCCAAAACGTGCCAAGACAAGAAACGGGCTGAAAACGTTCAAGAAGAAGAAGAAGAAGCCGAAACGGAGTCAGCAGCAAGCCGCATCCGTCAAACTGAGGAAGCTATAAGATCAACCGGTGGAAACCTGAGTACTGCGAACTAACTCAAAATGTTTGTCATCTGGGAACTGAGTCGAACTGTGAAACGGGAGCCAAACATTCAAAAGAGCTCAGAAGTCATGTGGGTAGTTACTGTTTGAACCACAAGAAAAGGTATTGCCACCTACTGGAAACAAATTAAGAATTATAATTATGAAACTGTCGAAACTTCAACCTTAGTAGGCGGATAATGTAAATCATCGAACGTGATGCTCGAATAAGTGTTTTTATTTGATATTAATAATAATGCCAAAACTGGGTTACAGCAATTCGGAATCTAATCAAACTTTATAAGATTCATGTGAGCTTTGTGGGCAGGTGTACTCCTAACAGCAGGTATACGTTATTTGTGGGGTAGAGAAGGAGGAGCCAAGAGTTCATTTGACAGCATGCATATACGATTTCGAGAGCTGTTTCAGCAAAACAATTAGAAGCTTTGAAAGATTTTCAAGATGTTTTCTTGCTTACTTGAAAAATTAAATCGTCAGAGTTCGCAATATCCAGGTCGAAACTAACGATTTTAAATTGGCTCACTACTTAACTAGCCTACCGGTCCCAAGTAAATCTATAAGTGTAGCCCCTTCTCTAGTTGAAATTCTAGTACTACACTATATTTGTTTTGACTCGCTACACTCTGAAAAATCTTCACGTCTGAATTACGTGAAAACATATAGGTGGTTTTCGTCCACCCAATTTTTCACGTAACTTTTGTCGGAATTACACGTAGTCGATCAAAATCCAGTTTCGATTATCTACGTGATTAGTCAGGTAAATAAGACCTGATTTCCAAATACTGCTTACGTGAAATCGGGGTGAAAACTACTGGACAACTGGTAACTTTTACGTGACATACCGTTTTGTTTAAAATGCTTTTCACGTAATTTGTACATGAATTTTGAATGATAATAATGGAATAATATAGAAGCAGTCAATATTATGCAATTTTATCGAGCAGATATAAAATCCACGTGTTAAACTTAATGCTTATATCTACTCATAAAATTGTAAATTATTGACTAATTGATTATTATGAGGTAGAAACGTGTATGAGTTTTTTTTTATTTCTGACAAGCAGCAAGGTTTGCAGACCCAAAATTCTGATGCTACCGTCTGAAATTATAAAACTAGAAAAGGCGATATGTAATCATAAATCAATCAAATTACCGTCCAATATTTGCAGCAAACTGCTGGAAAATTTTGAATCTTTGGGGTGTTCTGGCACCACGCTCGGTGACGCCATATTGATTTTGTTTGCGTACCTGAAAATCACGTAAATCCCGTTTTGCGGAAATATTGAAGTCCCAAACACACAAACACAAATACACTAAATCTGTTTACCTAAATATGCGGTCGATTTCACCAACATTTTTAGTGGACATGACGTGCAATGCAGGTCAAAGTTACTAACGTCACGTAACATTTGAGATTTTCTAAATACAGATCAGTTACGTGATATTTCACGTAAATCGAACGTGAAGATTTTTTAGAGTGTATGAAAGTTTGACAGATAAAATAAGGGGTTCGTGGATTTTTCT